TACGGTAAGCTCCTCCCAAAACTGGATACAGTGGCAGAGCTCGGGACGGTTTACTCAGACTTAACGTCTTCCGGTGATGCAAACAAGGCAGTATCTGAATGTTTTACGACTTACTGACTATGTCTTACGTACGTTTTACACTCTCGAAGCGAGATTAGCTGTGTATAAGGCACATATTTGCCCGAAACTCGAATATTGTGCTCTCCTGCGTGATGACCTCCGCAGACCGACAAATGTCGAAAGTTTTTATAAATTTCTCATGAAACTCATGATAAGGTTTGACCAACAAGTGGAATATTTTGGCAGGTGTAGAACCATTATGCTTAAGGAGAGTGAGATGCAGCTTATTTCTACTCTTCTAAGCCATTAGGAACCATTGTCACAGCAACTAATCCATAAGGTGGCGAAATATTAACTCACGTCATTTGCGGAACCACGACTAATTTCCAAGGTGTCTATCCAGAGAGAAATCATTAGAGCGAACCCTGTCACCATTAAATATTGCACTCTTTGAAGCCAACTCACTTCTGAAATCAGATGTTGTGAAAAGCCAGATGGATTCAAACGGAGCCTGGAAAGACACGCTTACATGTCCACTCTAGCTCGTCCAAAATCCACAACTGTTGAAATGACTACCCTCAGTCTGTAGCTACCCATTTCTATATATTTTTACAAAATTCATAACGATAGAGCATTTCGTAGTATTTTTTCCTTGATAAAAGTTTATGAGTCACTTTACAATGTCCAGAAGTCGTGAAAATTTAGCATAACAAGTTCCGCTGACCAGTCTTTTTCCTCAGGATCATTCTACATGACTTTAACACCAGTTGTTCCCCTACTCATATCACTCTGCTAAGCGGAATATAACTTAGTTGCTGTAATACTAGCTACTTCTATACTTTACAAATTTTGAGTGAGATTTAACTTCCGAGTAGTTTGTAATAAGCTACTTCCACAAATCTGTGCGTGTGAAGATAATACTCCTGAGAACGTCCTCAGCTATCAACACGCTATGAAAGCTACTAGAGTGCAGCATACTGTGTGACTGATCGGGCTCAAACCAATGCAATGCTGCAAACAAATTACTTCAAAAATATCTCAGAGCTTAAAACACACAAAAACGGAAAGTGGTGTATGTTGATCAGCAGATATGCTGGTCACAAATGTGAACCACTTCTATCTGTGGGACAGCAACATGCATTTTGACAGCTCGATAATTAAACATGAATTTAAGTCTTCACATATAGAGCAATGATGATTGTTTGGCTATAAATGAAGAAATAAACAACGCTTCCGCTCTTGACATCTACAGGTCTGCTCAGCTTCTTGTCAAGATGCGACCCTGTTGGCCTCACACAGATTCATGGGTATCCTACAGGTTCTAACTTTTCAGATCTTTGAAACCACTCTTCACTAAACCACAGCTTATATACTTAGCAATAACCTTTTATCTAAGCGCTAATATACTTCTTCATATCGCAGATGTTCAGGCACTTAATATAGCTGAAACTTACTCTTCGCATTCGTATTCTTCGCTGCCTTAAATTGTGATTGCTTTGTTGGAAAAGAAAAACAGCAGCAAAAATGATGTTTGTGGAAAGCTATATTTTCATCGAAAACTCCGTTTTCTGCATGATAGGACCAATATAGTTAGCACTATACGTCGCACTTATACGTGATGACTCCACGGCTGTATAGATTCTCCTTGTATGTATCTTGAAGATTTGCTTTTAGTGATACATTACGCTGAATCGCTCTGTATACCATCTAGCATTTTCTTAGTTCGTTTCTCTCTTCCTAAGGTAGTTGTATTCACGTGTGTATGCAGGGCTTACCGAAATATACTCTCGTCATTGATTGGTCATAATTAATGTGCTCTCAAAATTTTGACCCAATTATAGGCACACTGTAGCATCTTCCGGTTTTCTGGTGCATTTGAATAGCTTGAAGGTCGTCATGATCGGGTAAGTAAGGACAGATGACAAATACGTACCACAGTTGTAGAAATAAGCCCTGTATTTAAGCTTCCTGGACGCATGAGTCCCCTTATCATTTAGTTTCATTATTAGGCGAACAGAATGCGATCAGTAGGATTAATGAAATTCATGAACTGGCGTACTAATTTTTCAAGACATCTAGTTAGTGTTTCCTCATTTACGTGAAAAGTGGATATTGTGGTTGTGTAAACTCAATAGATTGTGAACTGCTGCCAATACAAATGACAACAGTCACTGGAGTTGTAAGTTGTTATTTCAGTCTAATTGCAACCATGAGCAAGTTTTAAATGACCGTTTTCGAACGTCAAATCTATACAGACAGGGCATAAGATTCAGCAAAACATATAAACTTTTGGTTTCTATAGGAAGTCTCCATGTCGAGTGCATTATTATAAGGGCGTACACATTTTATAACTTTACTCTTACAACTAAGGTGTGAAACATTTGTCTATCCTAACTGAACTTAATACAGAGAATCTTGTGAAGTAATTCCTTTTCTGTCAAATTTCTCATGCTGAGGAGATGGGTAAGACATTCGTAATCTTTCACCTCATGTGAAGTTGAAGTATAACTCGATGCGCAGTAGGATTTGTACACTGTGATATAAAGTCTTTCATTTCCTCTGAAAAACTTGTCCTTATTCCAACTAAAACAGTTAGCTTCTTTTACGTTGTGCATATGAAACCGGAATCTTATGGAGAATAAATCTTTCCCTAAAATAAATGCCGCATGAAAAAAGAGTTCGTCACACTGCTTTGCTCCGTATTCACAGTTCTGATGCTTTGTTTCTTAAAAATAAAGGCGGACTGTGCTGGGTGAACGGAAACGGAAATTAAAGATGAAATTGTGCTATCAGTGTCAACAGCTACCAAACCAATTGAGACAATAACATTTCATTAAAAAAGGCCACACATATTAGTATGGTTCCATGGAAATTCAGAAGTATGCGTTTAGATTTTGATCTTAATATGCGACAGTGGCGCAGTGGTTAAGACTCTCGTCGACCATGCACATGGTCCGAGGTTCGATTCCCTGACGACGGACACCTGATATCTATGGTCGGCCTGCAAAATTTGGGCTACCGATGTGGTGAGAGCAGGCTGCTAGCCGATTGGTTGGCACTAATCTACGTTAAGGTCTAGGTCACTAATATGGGCCGTGAGAAAATATGAACAAGACTGAGTCAACAACCAATCACAGCAAAGTTAACGTGGCAAAATGTGATTCGCAGATAGAGAACTCGATTTGTCAAGGAATCCCGAAACAACCAATCAGAAGCCTGCGTTTGTCTACCTAAAAACAACCAATCAGATGACTGCGCTTGTCTATAATAATGTAGTTGAAATATGTATAAATACGTGTCGATTTTCATAATAAAACGATCTGTTGCCTGGCCCTTGTCTTCTGTTGTTACACCGATACCAGATGCTGAAAATCCCATACTTGTACCAAAGATACAGTGTGGAATCAAGCTGTAAATCAAAAATCAATTAATACATCACTTTGCACAGATCAGTTTCAAGCGACATTTCCTGATATTAATGCAGCAGATGTAATGCAGTTTAAGTACATTATGCCGCCGATATTATGTACACCAGAGAAGTTTCTTAACAAAACTCGTTCGAAAATCATATTAAAAATATAACCTGTCATTAGACCACTATCGCAACGGACATGGACGCCGCATTTGGAGGTAATTTTTAATAAAACCACTCCAGTATAACGATGGATAGCTTTTTTAGTTGTGTTGAGTGGATCTGAACTCAAACTAACACTGCATCGCATTAATATACATCAGGTGAGGTTTAGTTACCGCTAGCACGGAATAATTTCCAAATCTGAAGAAGGCTATCTCTTTAATTTCTCTAGGGAGGGTGGTTTCAACTACAAGTGGCACGATTGAGGACGTCAGAGGCAAGATTGAGTAAAAAGCGAACCTTCATTAATCTGAATTCAGTGTGGAAATTTGCTGAGCTCAGTATCGGGAATAAGAACAGGATTTTCGACACTAATGTCAGGTCAGTTCTTCCGTATAGTTCGAAGCATTTTCAGGCTACTTCAGACCTTTATTTACATCTTTTTTCACCCCATATCTGATGGTTGCCCAGAAGGTGAAAGGCTGTCGAAGGTGAAGACGTCAAGGTTAGCAGAGGTAAAATATAGGAGTCTATGTATAAAAATGAAAGTAAGGTTCGAAAGAGATCTGTTACTTGAGACATCATTATTGCTTGAAATCATCGTTACGAGCGCGCGATAAGCGTCACTGATAGTTTGTTGCTTCATGTGTGAAGGCTAAGACACTACCCGGGCGCCCAGACTGAAGCAGGTGTTTTTCTTCAGGGATTATCCCCGAGCCTTTGACTTGGAGTCTAACCGAAAATGAAGTAGAGTGGCGTCAGAAACTGCATCCCCGTGGCTACCGGTGAACAATATAGCTTCATACTCCATTTGATCCGATTTGATTCTGGAGCCCATTCGCTACATAGTAACTGCTTTTAGTCTATCCGCCATCCAAACAACATTCCTGACGCGGTAAGACCAGCGGGAGTATGAGTTCCAGCCATTTAAGCTAGTCACATCACTGCGGCATTCAAGTTGGACCAACAGGACAAGGTAGTAGTTGTCTGTGTGGAGACTAAGTGAGTGATGTCCCGCTCCAGGCTCTCCATGGGGAACCGATTAGTAAACGGCTAGTTGGGCTTCAGCCGTGACATGGAGGCAATTATATGCTCTAGAATTGGCAGCCTTTGGCCAGTCACTCATCCATATAAAGAGGAGCGAAGAGGGCAAGAGGAAATATAGATGAGCTCTTGAAGATCTGTAACCAATAATAATAATACGATCACCAATAAAAGTGTTTCTGCTTCTTGAGACCACTTTCACTAATAAATTTCTAACGTTATTAAGGTTAAATAAAGCTTTCATTTTATGTAGACACCATCCTGACAATTATTGTCGCTTTGTATTGGCGACGCGACTTTTTGTTTTACTAATAGAGGACTGCTGCTCTCCTCGTTGATTGGTTGGCGTCTATTTAAATTGCACAACAAAGTCATGGATTCTCCCGAAAACAGGGACTCAAATGGAACAACTGCCGACAGCTGCGGTAACTTTCCCGCACAAATTGTTGACTCAATTCTAAATGGTGACATCTCTGATACCGCGGAGGATATAACAACGGAAACGATTTCTAAGGGAAGGTTGAAACATGAGATGCGAATGTTGCAAACGCGTTTCATGAACAGTGCAACAGCTCTTGAGAATAGCAAAAATCTGTCCAAAGCACGGGAGGAAGAGCTTTTGGTGAGTTTACAAACTATTACTAGTGCTGGTTGCCTTAAAATAGGCATTATAATAAACTTGGGTTGTGTCAAAATCATCGCAATATTAATTAGTGGAAGGGGTTAAACTGTGGGATCCACTCTGGCGCATTATTTTCCAAAAAATATTGGAGTAGGAGGTGGCATAACCTAATGTGCCCTTCGTTCTGGAATATCTTTTTGATTTCTGGGGAGATCAACTGTTTGTTTTTTGTGAATTATAAATTAATTGAAGTAAGGAAATCCTGATAGGATAAATATTCTTCTCGGCGAGATTTCGGGGTGCATCAAAGGAAGCGATTGCAAGTAAAAACGGATCTCTGAACACCACCGTTCAATAAGTATCACCCCTTCGGTGAACGCTTTCGAAGATAGATTAGATCTCTGGTAAGATGTGTATTGCAAGGGTTAACAGAGGCCAGAAGAATCTACTATCGTTATTATCTGCATCAATACTCGTTTTCTAAAACAATCTCCAACTTGTGTTTTTGTATTGTTGAAGTTGTAGTTAGCTGAGAAAAGAGCGCCAAATAGTGAAAAATGAGTTAATATTATTTGGATACATTTATCGTTCTCATTTTGTTCAGAATATCAAATACTACGGTGAATAAGTGTTACGCATACATTACTTTTCTGAAACGTTTTTGTCTACGTAAGATGAGGCATATTTGGTTTTCCGTTACCGTCTGTGAGTAATTTTGTCTTCCTTAAATATTTAAAGATTTTGAGTGACATGTTTTTCTACCGAATAACTCGGTAGTGTGGATTTACCCCAGTTAGTGTACCAACTGGCCCTGGTTCCAGGCCATAAAAGTAAGGCGTATGTGAAATTTGGGAAATTTGCGGCACGCTACTTTACGCTTAGCTTTTAATGCATAATTTGCACTTGGCTCTCAATTTTGAGTTCCACTTGGAGTGCACTGAGTCATTCTTCTAATGATTGTGATTTCCAATGAAACTACATTGTTCTTCGTTATTACTATTCCTTTGTCTCACACCTCTGTTTACTGTCTCTAATATGCATTTCTTCTCTTGCTTTGTATGCTACATGGAGTGTGGCGACTTGAACTGACGCACATATGTGCAAAGTTCTATGTCGAAAACAGACGAACATTCCTCCAATCAAAAGGTTGTCAGTGTCCACTTTTACATGTGTTTAAACGTTTCTCACCACATATTCAGCAGATACTCGTCGACATGCTTGTTGGGGCTTTAATAACTCCATGTTTTAGCCTAACATAGGTGCTTAAGCATTACTTCCTGGGTGGTAGGCTTTAACGAGGATAAATCTCCGCGACCTGTCAACACACATTTTTTAGTGAGGGAGTGCCTGTAAAACTGGTACTTATGCAGGAAATGAGGGAACCATTTGATTAAAACGGTCTTCGACCTCGTGAGTCTTTCCTTACATATGTGATGAAGGATATTGATCTGATTGGTGGGATTTCTGGATATCGTCACCCAGATCGAATTCAGGATTCTTTGTTGCCAAGGAAGTCTGCTTATAACAATTTATTTAAATACATTTTTGTCTCCTTTATTTACTTTTGTGTACCTCATGGAGTGTAGCAATTTAAACTGCTTCACGTCTACTCAAATTTCCATGTTGGAAGTCAGTCAACACTACTCTGAAGCGTAGAAAACGTTACATGCACACTAAGTTTCGTGCTATATACGCTTCATCTGTAGAAGTATCGCGACGTGACCCACCGACTTTCTGTGCAAGGCTCTTCGTTAAACTATGTTTGGTTTATGATAAAAATATATTTAATATGATATTAACCAAATAAAAGGGGAAGGAGCTACACTGGAAATAAAGACCTGTCGAATAAAGTTCGAAGGTTTATACCGATTTAAACCTTGGAATTCCAACCATTCCCTGTTAGTTAGCGTAGACAAAGCAACTCACGTGCATTCTACGTGTATCCTCTTGCAAATCTGCACATTAAAACTTGTGACACATTATCCAGTCATTCACGGTAGAAGTAAAGAAATAAACTTCTGTGAAGGTTATGACACAGTTATGGAAACGTGCTATCACTTAGTGTGAATATTAAGATGGAAGACAGTAAAAGGTGTTGTAATCCATTTCTGATTAAATAATTTAATAAAGGTGTTGGAGTATACTCATTTATTGTTTCAATCAATTAAATTTGTAAAAGAAGGAATTCATGATTGATTAATCATATCAAAATAATAAACATTAGTTTGCATACCTTAAACCTAATTTCTAACTTTCTTAATTGTCACTGTTATGCTTCCGAAACCTTGGTGGACAACTAAAAACCTGAATTTGACATTCTGAGTTGTTGTGAATGGAACGATTAGGAAAATCGTGGTGTTCATTTGCTCACTGCCTTCAGTTATTGTTTATTTCTTAGGTAAAATAGCACATGAACAAAGCAAGAACAATAAATTGGGTGGGGTGACATGGTGTCTTTTCGTTGGTTCTTTTCAACTACATACTGTCATAAACAGTTAGAATACCAATATAAAATTTTTCACACACTCTTATTATAGAAATAGATGTTAACTATCATGTAACTTTACGAGAATATTGTGGGGGTGAAGAACAGAAGTTGGACATTAGTTAGACATGCAGAGAAGGTAGGCATCACACATAACACTTCTGGGTTTCTATGCGTCGAGATGATGAAAATAATAGCTTGAGCAGAGGTCAGATATTCAAGACAAATTAAGGCATATGAAATGATACCTTTGAAATTACCTGCGGTAGTAAACTTTGAGAAAAGTGTTTTCATCAAGGTAGACTGATGACTTTTTGATTCTGAATACACTGGTTGAGTCTTAACCGTTTAGTCGCTACGTCTCCGGTGGTACATGATAGACGGGAATAGGCCTGTACTTTACCATAAATAGCTTTGAAGCATTGATTTCGTAATCACCAGCAGATGATCAGCGATTACGCTGCTGAAGACGTTTAAAACTTTTGATCTCAATTCCCCTAGAACATTGTCGGACATACTGTCGAAAACCCTTCTTTGCGTTTGTCTCGTATGTGCTTATCAAAGTTAGATTGTTTCAGTGAGCAGTTTTATGAGTGAAATGCGATTAATTTGGCAGCTGGATAAGTTCTTTTCAGAGCATCATTTATTCATCATATCATTCTTCCAGATACTTCGTCAACTTTGATTTCAAACTTTAGGAAGATTGATGTTTTCACAAGTATTTGTTCTCTTGTGTTTACAAAAAACAACTTGGAAAACTTTCAGCCTAAAACAGCATAATACAGTCATTACCACTTGAATTTTTGAGGGTTTCTAAAACACATCGTAACTTCTCATGCACATCATTCTTTTCCCCCACTTCTTTTACACTTTTAGGATCAGATTAATACACTGACAATTAGATTAAATTTAGCCACAGCTCGTTATGATGCACTGGTTGAGACCACAACAGAATCCGCCGAATTAAAAGCGGATTTGGTCCAAGCTATAACCTGTAAACGAAGATTGTTGAGTGAAAATGAAGAACTTCATAGTCAATTGAATTTAATCCGTGAAATTCTTATCACTAAATTACCGAAGAAAGTTGATGCTACTATTAATATGGATATCAGTAATTACTCAACATTAACTTCAACTGAATTCGATGTATTGAATAAAAGATCTGTAAATAATTTGTCAACTTTAGAGTTAGTCAAGTTTTGGGTACATACAGTATTCACTATTATTTCACAGGTATGTTTTTAATGGATTTATCATCTGTGCTTTTTTTCTTAACCAATTTTAAAAAATGTAATTCTTCTAATGAAAGACTTCAGGTAAATATGATATTATGGAATATATATGTATGCGTATTAAAAATTATTCTGTAGAAAAATGAGAATCGTTGTGTCATGAAAGACAGGCAGTATTTAAGAAAATGAAGGATGCATTTTTCCATTAGAGTTTAGAGTGATAAAGCAAGTGTATTCGTTAAGCAACCGTAATAGACAACCTTGTTACACGGAACAGTTTGTATGTAAAAGATGTTTGAAATCAAAACACTTCTAGACCATGGGATAACTCGCAGTTTTAGTAATCGTAAGGTGGAAATAAAGTGGAAGGTTACTTCTAAAAAGCCCATATAATTTAGGGAATCAAAAGGGATTAAAAGGTAGTAAAAATGTATCCCTCTGTCACCTATAATTAGTTCCCAGGATAGAAGAGTGGATCGTTGGGAAGAGCATTATGAGGAGCAGTTTAATTTGCCCACAGCTACGCTCAACCTTCCGAGCATCCAACACCTCCCTGAATGGGATATAGACACAGGTCCTCCGTCACTAACTGAGGTTACTAAAGTTGTCACCAATCTGAAACTAGGCAAAGCAGCGGGACCTGATGGAATCACTCCAGAGGTATTTAAGTACAGTGGAGACAGTTTACTGTCTGGATTAACTGAGGTACTAGGCAGCGTCTGGGAATCAGAGGAAGTCCCATCGGGTTGGTGTAAGTCACTGATTATCCCCATATACAAGAAGGGAGACAAGTCTTCCTGTGATAATCACAGAGGGATTAGCTTGACTAATATAGTATCTAAAGTCTTAGGCTCAATAATCATGCGTAGACTAAGTGGTGCTCGGGAGGCACAAACACGAGAAAGCCAGGCAGGCTTTAGACCAGGAAGAGGGTGTATTGATCATATCTTCACCCTCCGACAGATTCTAGAACATAGGAATTCCTACCGGCATCCAACAGTCATTATATTTCTTGACCTAAAAGCAGCATTCGACTCTGTCGATCGAGAAGTTCTCTGGAGATGCTTGGCTGTAAAGGGTATTCCGAGAAAATATATTGCACTGATTAAGGCACTCTACTCGTACTCATATAGCCAGGTGAGGTCTTACGGCGAGCTGTCATCTGAACTGATGACGACCAGTGGTGTCCGTCAAGGATGCCCATTATCCCCTTTTCTATTCAACTTCATCATAGATGTATTAATGGACTTAACCCTAAGTGACTTTAGCGACTCAGGGATTGACTTGCTACCAGGGAATAATCTCGTTGACTTGGAATATGCAGACGATATAGTCCTTCTAGGCGAAGACGCTGACGAAATGCAGAGTCTTCTAAACACCTTGAGCCGCAATCTACTAATGTTTGGCATGCGATTCGCTCCCGCCAAATGCAAGATGATGTTACAGGACTGGACTACATCGACGCCTAGTTTAAAAATAGGAAGTGAAGTGGTAGAGCACGTTGACCGCTTCACTTATTTGGGAAGTACCATCAGCCAACGCCAACGGGTTGATCTCTGACGAAATCTCAGCACGAATACAGGGGGCTCGTTTCGCATTTGCCAGTTTACGCCGACTCTGGCGTAGACGAGACGTTCGACTATCGACCAAAGGGCGGGTGTACTGCTCATCAGTCCGCTCCGTCCTCCTTTATGGTTGTGAGACCTGGCCAATGAGAGTGGAAGACATGAAAAGACTAGCTGTGTTTGATCATAGGTGCCTGCGGTCTATTTCCCGTGCAAAGTGGCATAATAAGGTGAGCAACATGGAGGTTAGGCGTAGAGTTCTAGGTAAACAGGGGAAATCAATCGACGAAGTCGTGAAGTTACAAAGACTGAGATGGTTAGGACATGTGTTACGTATGCCAAGCCATCGCCTCCCTCGACGAGCAATGTTAGCGGATATAGGGTCAGGCTGGAAAAAAGCTAGCGGCGGTCAAACAAAAACTTGGCACCAGTCAATGAAATCCACAACAGTTGGTCTAAGCCACGTAGGAAGGTGTAGACTTCCAGGCTGGGGTCATCGGGACGGTAAAAATCTATGGTTGGAAACAATTGGTGACATGGCTCAAAATCGTTCTCAGTGGTGCAGATGCATCCACTCCTTGTGACTTATGATCTCCAATGAAACTGTTTTGTATTTCTTTATTACTCCTTTGTCTCACACCTCTGCTCACTGTTTCTATTATGCTTTTCTTGTACTTTCTTCTCTTGCTTCGCGTGCTACACGGAGTGTGGCGACTTGAACTGCTGCACATCGGTGCAAAGTTCTATGTCGAAAACAGACAGACAAACAGACCTCTGTCACCTAGAACACGGGATTTACCACAGTAGTACTATGACTATGTTTATGCATTTAGTTCTTTTACTCAATAATTATATTAGGACATCACCAAATGCTTGATTAAATTACTTTTTTGCAACTTTTGCAACACCCTAAGTAGTAAATGATGTTCATATTCTCGGTGAAGTTGCATTTACAAACTCTACTCCTACAAAATAATTTGAATTAGTCAAAATAATGCTGTTTGGTGGCAAGGAGTGTTTATTTTAAATTTTCATTCTCTTAGACTTGGATTATTTTCCTGTTTCGTCATTGTTCCTGTCCTAGAATATTAATCACCATGGTATTATTACTGACAGAAAATTTAATTCAGAAGAAAATCGTAAACACGTTCAATTTGTTGATTTATCGTCTGGATCACTATCAAATTCAGTATCAGTAGATGCTCAGCGAACACAAGTTAAGTGTTCTACGGAACATAATTTGAAGAATGTGAATAATAATTGCCTCGAAAATGATGGAGATAATTATCACAATAATGATAGTGCTGTTCCGTCTTCCGTTGAAATTATCGCATTGGAACAGCAAATTCATTTAATGAAATTGGATAAAGAATTTTATTTAAAACAGGTACAGTTTTTGAGTAGACACAGTAATTACTGTATTAATTTGTCTTGTGCTATATAGTAATATTAACATAAAGAAATTGTGTGATCTAAAGATAAAGTAGCTTTAGTAAAAATGTTTTTTTTTAGTGGGCCAAAGTTACTGTACAGTCATCTTCATATCTACAAATCATGTAGAAAGTAATAAAAATGAGGCACGAAAATAAAGATAACAAAAATTGTAGAATGTTTCAAGACAGATGGAAAAAGTGATATTCGAATTCAGAAATGAAGGTGAAGTAATTTGACAAGGCCGGTTCATCGATGCAAATTATTATATAGTTTTCAACACATTTTGTTAAATTTGATAAAAAAGAAGTTGTATAAGGCTTTATTTATTCTTACATTAAGTGTAGTCGATGTAGTTCACCAACTAAAACAACAGGGCATAACGTATATCCGTTTAGTTTCCTAAAACTACAATTAAGGACTGATTGGCCAACAGTAAACTGTTTATAAACCCATTGAAAGGAAGGATACACTTTCCAACTGATTGGTTCCTATTCTAAAATTAGTCAGTTATTCATATCTGTTTTTTCAGTTTAATAAGGTCAGGTTAAAAATCTACATTCATTCTCAGAGTGATCACATTCAATTATGACTTCTATGATTGGCGAAGCTGGGGAATAATAATCCGGGGAAACGAGAGGATAATTGAGCTTGAAGTGGCTAGTAACAGTCTGCATAGACAATAGTACAGTTAGAACCAATCTTCTCTGCTATCATGTCAGTAACATTCAAGTAAAAAGTAAAGAAATTTAAAATTATGTAGATTGCTACACGTTTACAAACAACTCAGACTAAGAGAAGAAGGAACACATTTAAGGACAAATGCAAGCAGTAGTAGATAATACCCCATATAGGTGTGAAAATCAAAGTTCTAATAGATGATATGAATGCCAAACTACGAGCAGACAACACAGGAAGAGAAATCATCACTTATTTAAAGGCACATCGTGAAATAAATGAGAATGAAGAACTCTTAGCATACTTCTGCTCATTTAATGATTTAGTGACTGACAGCAGCACAAGAACATCCACAGGAAAACACATATTTTACCAGTTGGACACACTAAATATTAGTTCAATTTGATTGATGGCTTTAAGAACACTTATATGTTTGGAACACTATTCTTTAACTTCGCCATGGAGTGTGCAGTTAAATTTGATGTTAGTTTTTAAGTAAAATGTGTAGATCACCAGTAACCACATCACAGCACTAAAGATTAGGTAGTATTCCAGTATTTTTGCAGTTTTGATGTATTTCGACACAATTACTTGTAGAAACGCTGTCAGCTGTGCAGTTGATTAAACTGTAACATGGCTAAAATAATTTCAAAAATAAATATACTTTAAGAACACATTAAACAGTAATCAATGACAATACAGAACTGTGGAAATACATTTTTTTTTACTTGGTTGATAATGAAGACTCATACCGTTCCGATGTAGCACCGTAAGGGAAAAATCAAAAACTTCGAAATTAAAATCCACAACCGATGTAAGTGGTAGATGAAAAAGGTTCATGTTCCACTTATAATAAGCTAAAAACCTTGAAAAGAAAAAAAATGATAAAATAAAAGTCAAAAGTAAGAGCAAAGCCGAAAAGTCTTCGCATCAATTCTTTGAGAATGCATGGAGTGATTTGCTCCATGTAGATGACTGGTACCTCAACAATACAAAGAATGTGGGTGCTAAACATTTATGGGAGACTAATTCTCACTTCATAAATGATTTTGAATGCAGTATCTCTTGAAAATGAGTGACCAGCGTTAAGAATATGTTCAGAAATTTTCCTTCTAATCGACTCAATCTTTTTGCTTCTCTCTACAAGAGTAGGTATTTATTTTGTTCACCTCATATGTGATATCTTTCCATCTTTCTTCCTATCATACTTAGATCGAATTTCACTTCGGTCCGTCTAAAAACAACAATGTTATTAATTAAAATGCCAATTAGTGTTGTAGTTTGTGGGAAAAACGTTCGAAAGCAAATTTAAAGAAGAACAAGAAATCCTGATATTCGCATTGAGATTTTAAAGATTCAACTGGAGATGGGCCATCGATGGTCTCTGCTAGTTAGATCAGTTCTAGGTCATATTTTTCATTCTGTGATTATCCTTTCCGGCTTTTCTCTCTACCTCGAAAACAGAATAGGCATCTTTTTTATACAAATCAGGTGTATATATATATATATGGCACAGTGGTTAGGATTCTCGTCGACCATGCACATAGTCCGAGGTTCGATCCCCTGACGACGGACACCTGATATCTATGGTCGGCCTGCAAAATTTGGGCTACCGATACCAGATGCTGAAAATTCCATACTTGTACCAAAGATACAGTGTGAAATCAAGCTGTAATCAAGAAAATCGATATATATATATATATATATATATATATATATATATATATATGGAGTGTAATTGCTCATTATTTCAAATCCGTAAAGATTTCATAACCGATCCAATCGTAAGTATTGTGTTTTGCTTTTGTGAATGTAAAATAACAAATGATTACAATTCGCTCAATTAGTTAAGCTGTTGGACAGTAGAAACTTTGAGTTCTTGATTGGGAGGTTTCATTTACTTTTTCCAGTTGTTTAATCTTCGTACAAAGTTGCAAACAGCTGAAGAAACAATCACCTCACAAGAAAAGTTAATAGCTGATTTGGAAAGCAATTCAAGGCAAATAATGAAAGAGAAAACGAAGATAAATCAGACACATCTACCTGAAGATTTAAACTCTTGTATGAAAACAGATGAAGTGACTAAATTGATTCGAACAGAGTTTGAAAAACTTAAGGTATGCATTAATATGCCATTTGTACACTAGAACATTTTCCTTTATTTATTTATTTTTTGCAAATTTTTATCATATGACAAGGATTCCTCTATTAAAGAAATGAACTTGTGTCACTCTATGTTTGTGTTGGTAGATATTTAAATCCTTCAGGAATCCACATGATTTGTAAAAACTATATTTTGAGTGATTCTTTTTTAATGCTTTATTTGCGAGTTCTTAATGGACTACTCATTAGTAGTCTATTTATTTTTATAATTTTACACCAACTAACTTTCCTACTAACCATTATGAGAACATTCCAATTGTGTAAAATATTTCAATCTATGACAGTGTACCACTGGGATATTTTTCGAAGTAGTATACAGCAGTACTGATTAACAATTTAAATTATCATACTGAATATATTAAATCTGTTTCATACTGCTCAGCTGATATAGACTCTACTGCTTTATTCTTAGTATTGAACAAGTATATTATCTGAAATATTTGCACTAAGCTAGTTCGTGTAGCAGTATGCCTTGATATAATACAAAACGTGAGATGCTAGAAGTGAATCGAAAGCAAACGTTGTCTGATCTACTTTTGTATCAACCGAATGATAAGATTTCTCACTCTCTACTACTGAGTGAAGCAGGTTTGAATTAAGAGTTCCCTTAATGTTTTGAACTGTTGTAGGATTAAAGTTGTCTACTACTAGATTATTGAAGTGATGAGATACCGACAAAGTTCAAAGGTAGTTGTGGTTGTGCTGATGACCCCGTATTTATTTTAACAAAAACCAACCGAAATCTCTCATTTTTAATCGAGTGAAAATCTTTAAGATAATAATGGTATGTACCACTGGTTCATATGAGTAGCTGACAACCATTCACATCAAACAGTAGTTGTTTCCAGCCAGAACAAAGTGATATAATGGCTGCACAGTTGTTTCACTTATGCCTAACTGACCTCATCATTGACGTGGTCGGCTCTACTCTACTCGGAGAACTGAAAACAGCTGAAAACTCGTGATATGTCGAATAGAATTCATCATTTGAGAATTACACAGTTCGAAATTAAACAATATTCAGATCACAGAATGTGACCTGACAGATATCATAAAGAAAAAATAAAGATTGAGCGGAGAAATATTTACTTTTCAATTAGATCATCATTTCTGGCTCTACTCTAATATATACATAGCATTTTTATTACAATACACAACAATTTGCCAATCAAGTGGCGATAAGTTTGTTAACAATAATTAAACAGTGTCAAAATGTCAATGGGTTAATAATTAACGAAGAAAATTAATACACACAATTAAAAGGTAGAAATGGTCAGAATAAATTAATATTACAAGGATAACACGTAAATTAAAGATGAGGTGGTCAAAATAAATAAAAAAAATAAATAATTTAGACAAATATAATTTTATAGGTTTAGGGGGAGGGGGGCGAAGTAGTCTTGTTTATGCATTCTTGTAACGATGGCCACGGTAAGGAAAGTGGCTGTACAATTTTTTTCTGAACACACAGGTGTGGCCTCTTCAGGTGGATTCCTATTGCTTCAGCTGTCCGTAGAAGACGAGCTCGTAGAGCGAAATTAAGATTAGTAGGAATGCGGTAAATAATTTTAAATGCAGTATTAACGTCAAACTTTTGCTCACTGTCTACAAGGTGTGGTACAATAGAGCTACGAATAGATGTTCCTTGTCCCTTGCTTAACCATGTTGGATGACGTTCGGAAATACGATGATGAACCTGCCTAATTTTCATGTTAATGTTTTGTACCCTTCATGGTAAGGTTCATTCTGACTTCCCTGATATATTCTCAGTGGAAATGGATTAACTTTAATTTTTTGTCAACTGAGGGTAATATTGGAAAAGAAGTGTTTACAACTGTAAGGCCAGTTATTTCAGTCGGTAGCACAGAAATGAAATTAAAGTTTTAATAACCATAACAATGGGACAAACTGAATGACTGCTTGTAAAGACGTTGTTAGAGGTAAGAAGACAGGTCAGTATCAGTATTAAATTACCAACCACTGTAAAAAATTCAAATAAAATGTATTGCTTGAAATCACGTGTACTTTCTCTTGATATAGTATTATATCTGTCTAAAATAAATGTAGATCATCATATGGTTAGATCGATTGAGATCAACACAGATGGATGGTCCTGTATTAAAGCATCTCTGAACACATATGCTTGGCTTCTTCAGGTGAATTCCGATTGCTTCAACTGTCTGCAGAAGTACAGCCACTTCCCTTACCGTGGTCATCGTTACAAGAATGCATAAACAGGACTACTTCGCCCCCCTCCCCCTAAACCTATAAAATTATATTTGTCTAAATTATTTATTTTTTTTATTTATTTTGACCACCTCATCTTTAATTTACGTGTTATCCTTGTAATATTAATTTATTCTGACCATTTCTACCTTTTAATTGTGTGTATTAATTTTCTTCGTTAATTATTAACCCATTGACATTTTGACACTGTTTAATTATTGTTAACAAACTTATCGCCACTTGATTGGCAAATTGTTGTGTGTTGTAATAAAAATGCTATGTATATATTAGAGTAGAGCCAGAAATGATGATCTAATTGAAAAGTAAATATTTCTCCGCTCGATCTTTCTGTTTTCTGAATGTCTAAATGGAGATATCATAATACTGATTTATCGTTTACATTATTTTATGTAATGCAATCATTCTTACATTTGTTGCGTTAGACGAGTATGAGTCACACATTATCCACCATTTTTCTTTTGTTTTGATATTATTATTACATTGACAGTCGATTGATCAAGAATTACACAATAAAGAAATTAGTTTACTTCGAGAGCAAAAATTAAATGCCATATGTGAATGTGCCAAATTAAAAACACAGTTAGAACAAAAAGAATGTACATTGAAACAGTTAAGAGAAAAAGTTGAAGAAATGCAAGTTTTAAATATGGAACAAGATAATCAGTTACGTGGAAAAATGAGATCAGTGTTGATGAATTTAGAATTAGAACAAGCTGCTAGGAAAGATGCATCCTTAGAGATTGAAAAGCTTAATGTTCAGCTGGATGTCAGTAAAAAATCTTACTATGAAGTAAGTTGTAGTGGTGTAATTGGTTTGAACTTTATGGAGAAGTGGTTTGTACATTATTTCATTATTTTTAAGTAGAATGACAGAATACTTTAGGTTAAAATAATTTAGGTTGTCGATAATTTAAGTATTCCATTAACACGTTATCAGTGTAATTTCCCACTTGAAGGAATTCCAGATTACCTCAAACCATTAATTATTAAGTAAAGCGTCGGTGGTATAACGGTTAGGACGCTAGCCGACCATGCACATGGTCCGGGGTTCGATCCTCGGCCGACGCACTCCTTTACCTCACTAAGCCAGAAAAAAATGCTGGTAAAAAGGAAAGGTTGAGCATGAGGCTAGCAACCCCATCCTGTAAAAATAAACACTGCCGCAGAAACTTCAAGCCAGTGGCTTGAAGCCCTATGTTCCACTGGGAACGTGAAGGAAAAAAAAGCACCACAATAAGTGTTCAGTAACCCCGGATAGATGTTTCTCCTATACTATACTACGATCAAAAAACAAGTATCCTTAATGCTTTTGGTATTTAAATCTATGATATTAGAAGTTTGCATTGATGGCTACAGCAATCTTTCAGATAATCAAATACTACGCTAATAGTTTGGTGATTGTCTTCAACGGATGTGTTTCAACGTAGATTTTATGATATACAAACAATTTGGCGAAGGTTTGCGGTGGTTTATTGGGTATTTAAAACTCTAGAATATTCCTAATAGTGATATGAGATAATGTATGGTGTAATTTTACATAGATTTGTGGTTTTCAGGATGAAAAATATTTGTTTCACACAAAAAAATATATAGCATCACAAGAAGACTACTTATTTACAGTATAAGTAGCTAAAGTCTTATATTGTATATGTTTTCCCTCATTTCTTGTGAATATGAATGGCTTCTACGCTAAACTATTTACATTTTTGTAGCTTGAAGCAAGATTCAATCAAGAAAGAGCTGTTTGGAGAATCAAGGAGGATAATTATGAAAAGAAATTACAGTTGAACGAAACAGCTGAAAGAGAAATAAATGAGTTATTGGTAAATTTAAAATGTGATATGAGTAAATCAAATACATCATCGTCAATGGACTACAATTTACATCCCAAACCACGTATTTCTGTTTTGCTGGAGAAAATAAAAAGTCTCATAATGGCAAACGATAATCTTCAAAGTGGACTGGAAAACAAGTCTCAAGAGATGGAGGTAATAACTTCATTTCTAAATAATTTGAATTTATACGACATTTTCTTTTTCATTATGTCAGCAATTTGTCTTTCGATTCATTAGAGTTATAATTATTGTATAAATTTAGAGTTTTGAAATCTTATTACCACTTTTGAAGAATGAATAAATTCTGTCAATCATCTGCTTCTGATCCGTTTTCTACTTTAAACTGTATTAAAAATTACACAGAACTAGTCGTCTTAAAGTGAAACATTTTTAAGATGTAACTACTTTTGTATTCATCATCTTCTCTCGAAATTATGCAGGAGTCAAACCCTAGTCAAAAGATGCTAAATGTAATGAAGTGTTTCAGACTGTTAAATTTTATTTCATTTTCCTGGGTAAAATGATAGAACACATTTTTCTGAATAAATAGTTCCAAAATTCAATTGGTCCGAGATGCGTTTTCACAATTTGCTATGGAAACAGTTTGAATTTAACTTTAAACATGAAGTAAACTAATTAATTTGATGCCTTAATTATACCAGCTGTTTCTATGACTGTACTACTCATAAGTGGTCAGTAACTCGAGGAAGAGCATCTTCATGTACACAAGGCTTTCAGCTACACTTATTATTATTATTATTCTTACATGATTGTTCTCTTGGGTTCCTAGTGGAACATAGGACTTCAACTACACGTCTCCACTTACTTCTGTCTTCTACTGTACTTTTCACCTGCATCCATGTTAGTCCATACTCTTTCAACTCCTCTACACACGATCTCCTCCATATCACCCTTGCAAGGACGTCCCACCCGCCAATTCCCTTTCGGGTTCCACTCAAGCAATGGCCTGACGCACGTGCGATGTCACCCAACGGCCTCCAGCCTCAGCGAGTGTCCAATCCATCTCCACTTTCTCCTGCATATTTCTTGGGCGATTGGTTCTTGTTTTGTTTGTTCACAGTCATAGTTTCTTGTTGGTGATTCTTTCCGGCCCGGCCATCTGATCTTCAGTATAGAGCCAGCGAAGACAGTTGTTGATAAAGGTAACATCTGCAACAGGCTGTTGGAAATATTCTTGGTTGAAAGTCGCGTGTTTAAATCAATGAGCCACATTTTCACATAACTATTGAATATGTGTAAAACTTGGTCACTGTGGTAACATGCAATTCCCTATTAATTTGTTTAATAGATATGTTGCACAACGAAACAGTATTATTTACTGGATGATTTTTCAGAGAGATTTTATTGTTTATAATCTTATCAATTATAAATACACAACTTCGAAACTTTCGTTTTATAGTTTTCTTTATCCCTGACTATTTGTCGACGGATAGTAGGACAGGTGTTGAATCATTCCTAATACACGTATTTTCAGTTGGTTTGATAGATAAACCTTCCATTATCAATCTCTTCCTCCACCCTGTCATACTAAATTTCTGAACTGTCATCTTGTTCCATCCTACTTTTTAGTTGTGTGCATTTGCATGTAGTGTTGTAGCTGAACGTTTCTCCAGATTTTTTTTACCTTATTAGGATCAAATAATCTAGATTTTGGTAGGTTTTTATGTCAGTCAGACTAGCGGAACACAAAAACCTGGATACATTGTGCAGTGATGAGGGATTCACTGTCTTCCGGAAATGTGTTAACGGTTAGTATTTAATCGGTAAAACTTCCAAGGGAGGAAAGACAGAATCGCTTGCTGGAATAATCAATACAACCACGGAAGTGACAACATATCTTAAAAAGGAGCTTACGGATATGATTTACACGAAAGCATATTGAATGCCAAGTTTTTACAGACTTGATCTACACGCAAGTCAATTCCTTGAGATAGACATCCTGCTCGTCCTTTGAAGGATGAATAACTACCCTTTTGAGCGACACCTTGTTTCATACCGTAAATTTGAATGATTTTAGTATGTTAAGAAACGCGCACTGTTTTCGAGCTGATTACTTCAAAAGACTCTTGAATCGACCATCACCTTCAACTCGCCCAGAAATGTTACCAACAACACACACACAAATGCCAGTGGACACCACTTCTCCAACGAGAACAGAAATCCTAAATGTGATCAAGCTACTGAAGGCCAGGTGGGAGGGCAGAAGGCTTAGATGGAATCCCCGCCGAAGCACTAAAACAACGGACCAAGAAACTGCGGCGGTTGTGCTCGATGCATTAGTGCAAATGATTTGGAAGAAAGGAAACGTTTTTTGATTTTTTTTACTACAGCTTGATTCCACACTGTATTTTTGGTACTAGTATGGAATTTTCAGCATGGGATATCGGTAGCCCGGATTTTGCAGGCCGACCATAGATATCAGGTGTCCATCGGCAGGGGATCGAACCCTGGACCATGTGCATGGTCAGCGAGAGTCCTAAACATTGTGCCACGGACGCACCTACCGATTGGAAGAAAGGCGTGTATGTCAATTCGTTTTAATAAGATGATTTTGATGTCTTCGTCACTTATCGCAGGTAGATAGGTAACCGTATAATCGTTATACAAATACTCATGTATGTTTAGCGCGAATATTTGGAGCATTACACTGTATTGGCGAGAACGCTGCCCAGAACAAGCTGGATTTAGGAAAGGCAAATCATGTGCTGAATAAATTGCAACTATATGCATCATCATAACAGAGCAAGCCAAAGAAATACAGTCGAACCTCTACCCCAGTTTCATCGACTTTGAGGGGGACTTCGACAGGCAGCGTTGACGGGGAAGTAATTTGGAAACTACTTCAATACTACGGCCTACCTGACGTCATTATCAACCTCATTCTCCAGGTATATGGCAATGCCATGTGTCAGGTCATCCACATCGGAAAACTCAGCTAGGCATACTAAGTGAAGACAAGCTGGTTGCCTATTATCACCAGCGGTGCTATTCTAAATTGTGGTGGAGTGGATTATGCGTTAGGCTGTGCTCTGGGAGTGAGGAGTCAGAAATACGCTGGACGACCGATAAGAAGACCCTAGAAGATCTGGATTTCTCAGATGATATATGTCTAACGTCACACAAACTCCAAGACTTACATGTGAAAAGCAACAAACTGGCTGGAAAGACAGGCATTAAAGACAGGTCTCCAAGTGAACATAGAGAAGACGAAAGTGATGAAGATATCCGGAGACTAAAAGCAGCAACAACCAGTACCAATCACGGGAGAGATTTGAATGAAGTTACTTCCTTCGCTTATCCAGCCTGGAAACATTGTGTCAACTACAGGCAGTCGGAACGGATGAAGATATCAAAGCCAGCCAGAATCGGAAGGGTAAGATACGCCTTCATCAAGGTGAAACCAGCCTAGAAATCTTCTGCACTCAGCTAGCATAAAGAGCAAGATTCGGATTTTCAACAGCAATGTCAAATGCGTCAGTGCTTCTATATGGGTGAGAAACTTGGTGCGTGTGTGTGTCACGATAAGGATTTCCAACAAGTCACAGCAACCTTTTATCAACAGCTACCTTCGTTTGCTTCCCAGTGAAGGTTAAATGGCCAGCCGGCAGGCCAGAAAGAATTAGCAAGAAGAAACTCTGCAGTGGAACATACCAGACAAGAGTAGATTGCTCAACAAATATGTAGGGGAAAAAATGGAGATTGATCGAACGTGCGTTGAGGAGGCCGTCGAATGACATCGCGCGCAATGCAGGCGATTGCTGGTGTAGAATCCGAGTGGGAAGCGACGAGTGGGTCGTCGGCGCGAGGTTTACATGGAGGAGATCGTGTGAGTTGGAGGATTAGATGAGAGATTATGGGCAATGGTGGAGCCAGCTGAGGAGGATGACAGAAAATAGAAGAAAGTGGAGATGCGTTGTTGAAGTCCTATGCTCCACTCGGAACCCAAGGGAATACTAATACTTTTTTCGAGTAATTGAGTAGTGTAGGACTGAGGCGAAAATAATTAAGCCTATTTGTTATTAAGTTGTTTTTCTGTACCGCAGAATTGAATATTGGTAAAAAACGAAAGCGAACTGCGTAATAAGTAGGAACTTCGATATTGTCCAGTTTTGTTTAAAATAAATATTATTTACTTTTCAAAGTATTTAACAGTTCAAATACCTCAGTATTAAAAGCTGATGTTTGTCCATCTGGTTTACTCAATACAAACATACTGCAAAAATTTACATTGCTATAGACAAGTCAGTTTTCTACAATCCATGTCTCTTATTCCCTAGTAAAGTAAAGATCAGCTGGCGTAACTTGATTCTTTTTAATCAGGCCTACATGATTGACTAACTAGATAAACAAATAGTAATGATAAAATTAGTAATGCACGATCAGTTGACAGTTAATTACATTAGAAGCAATTCGTATTTCAGGGGAGCTGTGTTGCTTTGGTATAAACACTCGACTTCCAATCACTAGGCCACGAAGTTGAATGCCATCTCAACTACTCAATCTTAGGCAGCCAAGGAGTATTATAAGCTCATCTACGGTAGGTGTAGCTTATTGCCAACTATATAGAAGTGGTACATAAATCTTACCGCTTGAGATCTGAAGATGTAGTAGACTAGCTAAACAACAATCTGGTTAGGTTGAATAAATTGAAACATTTACGATGTTCACTGCTTCTATCATACATAAAAAGTGTGATTTCGATCAGAGTAGCAGTAATTTAAAGAGAAGAAATAATAATAATAATGATTTACTTTATTCCAAGTACCAGTGTAAGTAGATCGGATATTTATTACCTTTTTGCCTTCTACGATGGAATTATTGTTCATCAAATGATCAAGTTGAGATATTCCTTTTTTCATCTTTTCAGATGGATTTTTATCATGTACACCGTGCACTTTATACTGTTTACTCATCCTATTGTTTTCGTCTCTTTTTTTTAACTGTCACTATGACCTGGTTCAAATTACCTTGATGTGTTCGTAACTCTGTACATTTTATTCTTCATTCTTCTGTGCGTTTGCGTGACTTTATAGCTAGAAGTCCTTTACCTAATTGTTTTTTTTTTGCATTTCATCTTTATTTCTTGTCTTTGTCGTATTTTGCTTCACTGTAATTTAGCGCATAATTTAATT